TAATTGGAGGCAAGTCTTGAGAGCATCATACGCATCGCGACTAGCCTGGTGAGATGTCGAAATCATATAAATAAAGGCAGTAGCTATGTACACTCTAAAAATAATTATATGGTTAAAAATATTAAAACATCAATATGAATGTTAGCTTAGTGTGTCTTTTAGCATAATAATATTTACTTGATATCCGTTTTTTGCAATGAAACCTCATCTTCATTAAGAATTATGCTTTCAAGAGATCGAATAAACCAACAACTTTCATCAACAGTAGCAAGTTTGGAGTACACCTTATCCCAAAGCAAGAATGTAAGTTTGGGTGAAGTGGCCAAAATATTTTGTTTGAACTTCTTTGTGCGGATCAATGCATCTAATGTTGTTGTAAACATTGAAAATAAATGATTCACTTTATGCCTTAATTAATTCCATAGGATTATATGAATTTAGTTTCACAACTTACTAATCTCATCATCATTCCAATTTTTTGATCTACCTTCAATAATTGAAACCAATATATAGCCTTCAATTGGACCACCAGTAAAATTAAGAGCATTGGCTTGAATCTTTTCCGTCGTCGACATAAGAGGTGCAAGAGACTTAAAAATTACGTTACGAAGTGAAGCCGATGGATATTCTGCCTCTTCCCACGCAAGTCGCCCAATTACAATAGCCCACGCCTTTCTCTCGCCAGTTTTGGCACTAGCCAATCCTTCCACAATGGATTTTGTACCTTTTTTCACGAGAATTTCTTCTTCCATATTTAATAATGGTTTAAAATGTAAGCCCAAAGCATCAATAGCTTTAGCCAAAGAATTTTCGTTGCTTTCTTTTAAAATAATTGGTAATAGTCCTTCAACAACAGATTTGGAGACTTTAGGTGTTCGATATATTTGACTTAAAATTTGGAATAATATGATGCGATGTTCTGGGTTGGAAACTTTTACAGTCCCTACAAAAAATATCAATAAAGTAAGTCTTTAAAAAAAAAAAAAAAGAAAAAAAAAGATTTAACTCATTGATAAACAGTCATCAAGATTTACAATATATAATCGTCATTGATATTACAGACCTCCACTCAATGCTTGAATAATATCTTTAACAATGTCTACTAGAATGTCTTCATTAGAACTTTTTTCAACAAGTATCTTTAGCAATATTGTTGCATCTGTTTGGATCACTTTATTGGAGGATCGAATATGTGCCAGTAAAGGTTGAAGAAAGTTTTTCTTTAAGAAATTTGATAAATCAAATGAAAAAGATTTAACTAGGCAGGCTAGCACTATTAAAAAGACAAATGTGAATTAAAAGGGGATTAGAGTAATAAATTTGTGATCTTGGTAGAGAATAACAAACCGCTCAATACGATTTCAGGAGCTCTTAGAAGAAGTTTCTCGAAAACTGGAATTAACTTTGATTGAAAGTCTTCTTCGGTAATTATAAATTTCATAAAATCATGTAGTGCATTCTATGAAAAAAAAAAAAGGAAGGTTAGGCTAAATTTTAATTTGATTGAAAATGCAACTGGTGTGAATATAAATACCTTCGATGTTTGCGACACAGTAGTTTTAGAAGATGCGATGCTTGTTATATAAAATTGTATAATATCATCCTAAAAAAGTTTATTGACGAACGAGTCATTTAATATCTTTGGATGAAAAAATTGTAATATTATGATCATAAAAATTGTAAGCCGTTATATACCTTTGCATTTTCTACAAAAGCTTTGCCGTTTTCCTTTTTGAGTCGCAATGAACAATCAACGACTGTCCCAAGTAAGACGGCATCACTGCATCTCACACTGGAAGTAAGATATTTTAGATATGAGGGAATATTTGATGCATTCTGTATGAAGATGAGTAAATTGAGTACGTGAAAAGGCTTAAAACATTAGTCGAATGAACAGTTGTTAGTCTAAATATATTCTTATACCTTGCGAATACAACGTCTAACATCAGCTAATGCACTATTAGCCATGCTTTTTCTTTTTTCATTTTCATAAGTTAATGAATGCAAAAGTATTGCTTGCGAGTCTACCAAACCCTTCCAATGTGGTGATGATTCAGCGTTGGTGGTAGCCGATAAAACAAAGTTAATTAGTGTATTGACCCATGTAAGAAGAACAAATCGAATAGCGGATGATGTCGTGTACGTGGTGCTAAAATGCATAAACGTATTTAGATGAAAAAATTTCCTCAAAAAGTTTAAACTCATTATTGATCCATACCAGTCAGGACTCTTTTGATTTAATTTATCAGCTTCTTTGGTGACCATTGGAACAAATGCATTTAAAAAAAGCTCAGAATTCCAGTTATTGAGCTCTTTCAAAATATTTAATATAGCAAGACGCGAAGGCCTATCATTATATCTAGAATAAGTTAAGAAAATTAGGTGAAGGAGACTTCCAAGTAAATTTTCAGTGAGATCTATTTTATAATTACGAGAGATATATCGTTAAAAATAGTAATTAGAGCAAAATTATATGATAAAATTGAAGTTTGCATTAATGCTAATTACCGCCGGCTTTTATTCGGGGCAATAGTGAGTGATTCAAAAACTCCAGGCGATGTGTGACATTCGAGCTTGTAATATTGTATAAAGCTCGAGACTTTAAAAATTTGGCCCAAGAAAGGTCAGCCAAACCGATATCAACTACATCTGAAGAATCCATTATTTTTTATTTTTGAAAGCAGGCCGCAGTATCAAGATTAGCGTTTAAAGATTTTTTATATAGCGATAGGGAAAAAAAAATTCGATCTGATGTCACGTGAAGTGCAGACCTTTCTTCCAATTGGTCAATCACCAGGAACACTGAAATTTGATCTTCAAAAAAAATTTTAAAACTTTTTTTTTTTTTAAAAAAAAAAAAATTTTAATAACAAAACGTTTATAACAATGCCACGCAAACAACAAGGAAATGCAAACAGACACTCCAAACGTCAAAAGTAAGAATATAAATCATAAGAATTTTTATTTTTCGCCTATGCGATATATCGCACCCTATAAGATCTGGTGTAACGTGAAATCAAAAAATTAATTCGTTAGTTTAGGGTTAGGGTAAGGGTTAGGTTAGGGTAGAGCGCTTTAGGGAAAAGATTCTAATTCAAAATTTTGAGAGGAATTTTTTTTGTTAAAGACGAGAGATGGTTTCATAGGCAAAATTTTGTGCTATAGCCGATTTTTGAAAAAAAATCGTAATCGCTTCGATTTCACGTTACAGCTGATCCTGCATTCTAATTGGTTTATCAGGGGTGGCGATAAATTATAATAATACTAATAAAAATTTTTTTTTTTTCTTAAAAAAAAAAAAAATAGAAAAAATTCGAGTGAGGGGAAGTGGTAAAAAAAATTTTATCTAACAAAATTAATATAATGAATAAACTAATAAATGCTTTTAATATAGGGAAGAAACACAGATGTGGAACTTGAGGAATGAAAGTGAACAATTGCGAGAAACGGTGAGGGAGATTGAAGATGAAAGAGATGCTTGGACGATGAGAGAAATTAGGTTGATAGATGCTTTGTTAGAGGAGGAGAGGAATTCAGATAAGTTAGGAAGAGAAAAAATACAATTGGAAATGAGATATAATACAGTAAGGAACGATATGCAAGAGTGGGTGGGGATTATAAATAACAGAAGAGCAATAGGGCAGCATAGACAGAGAATGAGGGAAACGTATTATGTAGAAGGTGGCACTGATGAAGAATTCGAAGAAGAAGATGAAGAGGTGGATGATGATAAAGAATTTGGTGGTGTTCAAATGGTATTAGACGATGAGGTTGGTGAGAGTAGTAGAAGTTGAATGTATATACTTTGCAAAAACCTCTGATTTTGCTAAATACATTTATCATATAATAATTATACAATAATCATATAATAATTATATATTTAAAATATTATCTTTTAAAAATATATTAAAGGTATTATTAAAATATATTAAAAATATCTTAAAAATATTTTTATAATTCTATTAACTCTTGCACAACTATATTGCTAAAATATGCAGTCACACCTCTCTAAGTGCATTCTGTAGGACAATAGTAAAAAAAATTAAAATTTTGTGCTTAAAAGATATTTGCATTTATAAAAAGTAAAATATATAGGACTCTTATAAGTTGGGGCCAACCTAGATCATGCATTTAGAGAGGTTTCATATAGTACTTGCACTTAGAGAATGTGCACTTAGAGAGTGCAACTATATTTAAGATTTTTTTTTTTTTTGGTATTAAGGTGAGGCCTTGCTTATATCTTTATTAGGTAGTTTATACAAGTAGTTATATAGGCTATATATAACAACTTAGTTTGTATAATAACAAAGAATATAGACTACATGCAAGAATAAGAGCTCAGACTAAAAACTTGGCTATAGCTAAGTTAATTATCTGTGACCTAAACCTACTAGAGTGGTCAAGACTCACCTAGATTTTAATAGTTAATATATAATTTGTATATATGCTAAGCTGGGCCCACACTGTGAACTATTGGTTGAATTTTAGCTATGCTAGTCCTTTGGAAGGGCATGTGTTATTGTCATTATGCAGTTGGTTAGCTTCACCACAGGGTAGTTGTGAGTAAACCTTCTTCGGTGTTGCTTGTTAGAGCTGTGAGCTTTTGTGTATATTGAAATAGCTCTATTTGGGAATGATATATTGTTCTGTTTCTTCTATTTTGCAAATCTGGCACAGTATGGTTTTTAGATTTGTTTATGAATTTCTGCAGATGTAAGGAGTAGTGTTTGTATAATGATACTAGTTGCATTATTGTGTTGTAGATCTAGTGACTAGAGAAACTGAAATAGTTGTATAGAAATAAGCTCTGTAAGAGTAGCAGGTAGCTAGTATGTATGTGGAGAAAGGGTAGGTAAGAAGTTGAAGGAGGGGTAGAACTTGACAAGGTTTGTCACTGCTCTGTACTTAGCTGGGATTAAGTTACCAAGGCATTTGCTAACTAATTTGGAGAGAGAAGCATCTATAATCTGTAGGAGATTTGGGAAGTTCTGACAGCTTATTTAGAGGTTGGGTGAGTTTTGAGTACTACATGAAAAGCAAGTGCTAGTCTGATATATTGTTGAAGCAATGTAGTGAACATGAAAATGTGTTGGCAAGTTGTTGAGCAGGTATTTAATTCTGAATGCTTTTATTTGGTTTAGTTTAGATGATATAATATTGGAAGCAGTTTTTTGGTTGTTGTTTAGATAAAGCCAAGTAGAACTCCAATCAATTGTTTAATCATAGTTTTCTCATTTAGTGTTGTATTTTTGTGATGACCACAGTGCTATTGTGTATATTCTACAGATATTCTTGACAAATAATTGTGTTAGTTTTTCTAAATTGTAGTCTTTCTATATAATCATAAAGTGTGGATTATACTGTATATATTGGTGTAATTGAATAGCAGAGTAGGTGTTGATGGTTGTTGATGCTTCTTGGCCAGTGAGTCTACCATATTGTTAAATCTGTTGTTTGAGTGTGTCTGAACTTTGTGTAGTATAAGCTGAATGTTGAATGCCTTAATAGTATTAATAAGTATATGCCAGATGGGCCAGTAATTGAACTTGAAATATTTAGAGGATTTGGACAAGGTAGACAGGAGTTTGTAGTACTTGGATATGATAGATTGGGAGTCTGTAAATATATCAACTTTAGTATTGCAGGGTAGTGTGGTAATAGCAAATAAGATTGCCAGTAGCTTAGCTTTGTATAGTGAGAGCCAATTAGAAATCTTGGTGGTGAAGCTGCTATTAATTTGGGTATAGTTTGTTTGAACCTAGCCTACTCCAATAGAGCAGTTAGTAGTGCCTATATCAGATACTAAGCTATCTGTATAGAATGTAAATATTTGTGTATTGATGTTAATAAAGACATGTTGTACTAGTATTTGAGATACTTCATTGTTATGAAAGAGAGTTAAGACTAGAAAGTCTGTGATGTTAATATTAGGAGAAGGTGAAATAGAACTAGAATATTTAATTGCTGTAGAGTATAGAAGGTCTACATAATTGGTGTTAAGTTTAAGTCTTTTGTTAATTGTTTTTCTGACCATAAATTGTGTAGATATAGTAGTAGAAACTTCAAATGTGCAGTAACTAGTAAGGCAGTTAGAGTTGAGATTGCAGCCAGAACATGGGTTGCATATAATAGGAGGTAGTGTGTATGGCAAGTAGTGCTTAGTATCTATATTGTGTTGCCAATATATAATAGAAACTGTGTTGATCTGTTTGAACTTTCTCTTTATTTGTTCTATGATAATTTTACCATGTTGGTGGTAAGTATCCATGGCTTTAGTCTTTTTGAAATAGTGTTAGATTGGTAGGCAAAGAGATTAATATCTGATAGTCAGTATTGTGAATATATTGAATAGTGTTGTGGGCTATTTAGTATTATATTTTCTAAAAAGGAGAACCATCCTGGTTTTTTCCCTTTGAGAAGGTGCTAAAGTCTAGGTGAAATATGTTGCCACTCTAGTATATATTTATTGTCTGCCAAGCTGAGTTGTTCTAGTAAAGAATATGTTTTTTCCAGAGCTGTTGTTTGAATATATTGTATTTGGGGCTCTTTATAAGTATAGGCTCGAGTAATGTATTGCTGTCTTGAATTAGTTGTGGCCATGCTCTGTCTGAATTAATAATCAGACTAATACTAGCCTGCCAGAGTATCTAATTTATTTTAGATATTGTAGTGTGTCTATTGGGTGCATTAATAATGGGCTAAGGATGCTATAATATGCTGGTAGTTGACTATAGATTGTTTTGAAGTTGCTAAAGTCTAATGTAAGTAGTAGTACCAAGTGTAAAGCTGTTATTAATTCTGAGAAGTAGGTTGTTAGTATGGTGCTGAAGCTGTATATCTCAGATACTGTGTATATTGTAAATTTAGTAACAGAGCATTGTACTATTGGGGGTGGAGTGAGACAAGTGGGATTTGTGTTTGGCAATTGTCAGATATTTGCTAAGAATTTGTGTATACAAAGTATGAGGAATAACTATATTATGAATTCTGTATTCCATTGTGGGAATTATGACTATATTAATAATATAAGCTATTTGTTTGTCTATTATTTTTTTTAAGTTGGCAATATAGGCTAAATTGAGAGCTTCTTTCTAAATGAGCTTGATTTGCTTAGAGTGTTTGTTGTTGAGTATAAACTAATATCTTAGGAACTTGAATAGTTGGTTAAAGAGAATTGTTGTTAGGTTTGCTTGCAGAAAAAAAATGTTAGCATTGGGTTGAGTTGATATGAACATCGATTTGAAGGGGTTAACTTAAATATTTGCCATGTTGTTAAATGATGAGACTGATTGGATAATTCTTTATAAATCTTCCTTAGTATTAGTGATCTAGACAGTATCATCTATATATGCAAGAACAGATATAGAGCAGTGTAGCTTTTTAGAAGATGATGAGGTTAGACTTGTTTGTCATGAGGTGTGTATAGACTGGTAGATGTGTAGAAATTTTTGTGATTAGTAGATTGTAATAGATTCTCCAAAATAGTGGAGTGATTGTTTCTCTTTAGTTGATTTTATTTTGAACATGGTAGGAGTTAGTAAGGCCAAGGTTGGTAATGCCCTGTCAGATCAGTCTGTGAGGAGATTGGTGAGAATTTTGGAGAGAGGTCAGGCATTTCTATTCTGTGAAGTGATTTTTGAAATAGACCAAAGTTGACAGAGTCATAGGCTTTGCTTATGTCTTGTGAAAGTATCTATAGTTGATTAGAGTTGCAAAGAGCATCTTCTATGATATTATTAAGGATATGAATTAGAATAGATATAGAGTTGCCTAGGAGTACAACATAGTTGAAAGAAGATAAGATTAGGTGTTTGAATAAGATATTGTTCAGCCAGTTAGTGAGGAGTTTAGTGTAAAGCTTTTTGATATGCTCTATAAGGCTTATTGGTATAGTATTAGTTAGGTTTCTATCAAAAATTAGTTTTTTGGAGATAGGATAGATCCTGCCTTCTCTCCACTATTTGGGAATTGTTTGGGTATGAAGATATCTGTTTAGGAGTGTAGTTGTAGCTTGTAAGAAAGAAGAGCCTGCATGTTTGAGCATTTTATAGCTTATTCCTAAAGAGCCACAGGCTTTGTTGTTGGGCAGTTGGCTAAGTATAGTAAGTATCTCTTCTTAGGAAAAATCAAAAAGTGCCTCTTGATACTAGTCTGGCTAAATGTGAAGTTTGGGGTCATATTTAGCTTGCCACTCTGTGATGAATAGTGTATCATCAATTGAATGGGTTGAGGTCCAGTTGTTGAAGTGCTGTTGGATATGTGATTTGATAGTAGTAGAATCTGTGACAATATCTTGGTTAAGTTTAATATTGTCAAACTTTACAGGATTCTTATACCTATTCACAATGCTATTAAGCATTGAGATTGGATTGGTTTAAAGTTTAATATATCTTTTAGAGATTGCTTTGGTAATTTGGTGTCATGTTAGTCTAATATTTTCTAGATTGTATGAGTGGTATAGCTTCTTCCACTCAGTATTGGCTTTTGTTATCCAGTCAGTGTTAGTTGTAGAGAGAGATATCTCCAAATTGTGTATTCTATTGAGTTCAGCTATTGTTGAGTTTAAGTGTAGTAAAGGTTGTTGATTGGACTTGGTTAGGTGTTTTACTATTCTGATTATGTTTTTTAGCTTCTTGAGACCATAGTAAAGTTGGGTAGCTTTGGGTAAGAATATATAGTGAAAGTTGCAACTGCAAACATTTTGTTAGAAATGAGTTGAAGTGTAACTGTGGTAATGCTGGTTTAGATTTTATGCCATGTGGCTTGAGAGACTCTGAGATTATAATCATAAGAG